CAAAGATTTTACCATCTTGGAAAAATTGACAATTTTATGAAAAATGTATACGCGGAGGAGAGAAGAGAGAAAAAAATGACGAAAATCATAGCGGCATTATGCGCGACAAATCTTGCATCGATTAACACGGGATTTGGCGCTCAAACTTTCTTGGTCACGAGAGTGCGCGAATATCACGTGGCGTGCAAGATTTTTCGGTGCTCGCGTGTGTTGCAAGAATAAGACGCGACGCGCGGATGCTCGAGACACCGTTACCAGCACAGAACACGGCGCCGGTCGTTATACACTCAACATTGTGCAATCTACCCTTTCTATCGGCCCTAATTTATGTTGAGTAAGGCAACAGCGCGAGCCCACCCCCGACTTGCTTTGCTAGGAAGCCTCGGTAATGTTTCAAGTGGCTTGTCTGTTGTTAATTTACCCCGGTAGGGCCTTGATGGGGGTCTGTCTCTACCCGTTGCCACGCTCCACTCGTTACGATAAATCGGTCATTATCTATACTATCTACGCGCCATATAAGAGTCGCGACTTGGGATTATAACGGCGTGCCGTTGGTAATTTTCGATCGGCCTATGCGAAGACTAAGCATTATGATAATATTAAACGCAAATTTTGTACATTTTCGTCTACCGAAAGACGAAATTCGGACTATTCGGGCGCGTATCGAGGTCGTCGCTATTTTTGACATTTTGACTCGACTGCTGTCCATGCAGGCGAAACGGTCGTAAACATATATACGAGGACGAACCCTTTTCCGCGTATCCTCGCACCCCTTCGCGCCGAGGCAGGCCGACTCGGGTGGAACATTAATATCGCGAAATGAAGCTCATTTGCATATAAATAAGGCGGTGGTGGGGCACGACGATGGGGCGAGGGAAGCCAGGATGAACCACGCCGTTCCTCCACTGCACCCCCCTTCTTTTGCCCTCCCTTATACCCCGAGCCTCGACTCCCCAGGAACCCCACCCTGGACTAATTACACTTACAGACAAAGCGGCCTGAACCGAGGGGTCGAGCGGATTCTATCTCTTACTCCCTCTCTCGTTTTCTCTTTCTTCCTCTTCCATGACTATCTCTATACTATTCTCTCTCTGCCAAACGGTCTCTCTATCTACCTTTCTAGTTGTCTCCGTTCTTGTCCTTTTCGTGTAGAGAGGAGATCCTCTGCAACTGTCTCGTTGGGTTTCCACTCCCGATAACACCCTTTCGCAATGACCACAGTGATAATTGCGAGCTCCCCGCAAGATTCGTTAAAATCTTTAATCGTGACGGAAATTCATCATTCTCTCTGATCTTTTTATGTCTTCTTTCGCACGTGTTGAATGAATTCAAATAATTATTGATTTCGATTGATCGCGTATAATTAGTGATATTATAATTTGCGAAAATTAAATTACTTTTATAACACTCAAACGTATATGTGTTTCTAAACAATGTTTATAACTGAATTTTAATACAACTATTTAATTAAGTAATTTAGATGCTCGAAGAGATTTGCGAGATTCGAATCAAGTCAAATCTAATTACTGCATTTGACTTAAATATATTTTACGCCCAGCTATGCATGCGCATATACATTCTATGTTTATAAAAAAAATTTCCTAGCTTCAATTTGGCAAACATGCGTTTAATATTTTTCATCATAATCTTAACTGATGTGTTGGTTAATATGGTAAAAAATCAATTCGCGTGAAAATTTGTGAAAAACAGCTAAATATTTCTCGCGTACTTTCTGGCGTTCGAAGCACGAGCTAGTAAAATTCGCGTTTATAGCCTTCTCCTGCCAAAAAAATCGTTCAATTTTCATAAACCGCTAACAGTGGCCTGCCTCGACAAATCGATCGCCAGAGCCAGAAACGCAACCGAAGATGGGATAGAACCAGGACGCGGCGCGGCCTCGCGTATCAGAAAGAGAAACATAAAAATGCGTATTACCGATTCCGGAATACGGCCATTAGTCTGAAGTCAGCGCGGCTATCGTTTATTAAGCGCAAACAGATATTAATGTATTTTTACACGCGCCCACCGAGTTTTGTTCTGCCAGCCACTGCCGTCGCCGACGCCGCCGTCGACGCCGCCCGACGCCGCCGTCGACGCCAAACTACACAGCGCGGGGTCGAAGCCAAATCCAATTACTTTTATTCGGGCGAAATGAGTGCAGCTAAGTCATTAATACTAATCAATGGACCGGACTCGGACCAGCTAGCTCCGAGCGCACACAGGCCCAGGCATTCCGCAGGAATTACCCATAACTCAAACGGCTCGAAATGACTTTATTGCAAAAAACTTGCGCTTTGCTACCGCGCCGCTTCTCCTCGTATACGTATTGTTAGAGACCCTCCCCTCCCGCCGATAAGTAATGTTTATTGTTGCATTTCCAACGACCAACCGAACGCTCGTTCGCCCTTTCCCTCCCTCCTCTCATCCTCTCTATCTCACTCTGATCATGTATTTTTTTCGTGCCTTCCACACTGGCCGTTCACCAGCTAGTCCCGCTGCTCGCGGCAGCGAGGGAGATCCAGCCCCGCTTTTTCGCATTAGCGAGATAGTCTATATGGACGTGGGATAACGATTTTTTACCGATTGCGCGACCGATTTCTCCCAGGGAATTTAAAGGATCTGCGAGATCAACGACGTGGGCGGCACGACCGCTCCTTTCGTGCAACTTGGTTGAGTAAGTCGAGACTCGTTGAATGTCCCGAGGCGTGAACCGAGAAATCAAATGCTAATTATAAATTATAACTTATTTTCTCGACATTATAGAATTATCGCTATATCTATTTCATTACTTTGTAACTATGTATATCTATAGATGGTATATATGTAATTAAAAATCATACAGAAATATACCAAATCCAACATTTCTGGAAATCTGAAAACCGTATCCCCGATAAAGAAACTGATTTCATTTATATCTTAATTAAAATGTATATTAGTTACATAAATATCTATTTCTAATAGATAAAATAAAAATATATATTTCCACGGAGAGAATCATTCAATTGAGGAAAAGTCGATGATTTCACACAAAAGCCGTTGTATCGTGCGTTGCGATGCCGCAGCACTGATTAATTTATGCGAAATATCGAAAAGCCGTAAACATATGTTTCTACGGCTGGTTGTATATCGTGCGCACTTTTACAAGCAAAATGGTTGAGCCTGTGCATTCAACTAATCCCCCTCGTCTCGTCCATTTAATATAGGGTGGCTATACTGGCGGTATAGCCGTTTACGAATTTGCGTGGAAAAAAAATTGAACTGCCGCGCCTCCTATTTTCGTTCGTTACCTATCGACCAGGCTTTATCTATTTTTTATGCAATGAAATGCCTCGACCAGCTATGCGCGCGGCCCATTGTGCGACTTTGACGAAAATTCAAGCCGGGATTACAAGCCGCACACCCAGAGGATATCTTTTTTTTTTTTTATATATAAAGTCGAGCTGAATGTAATGAGATTGTTTGACAGTGTGCAATTAACACGATATATCTGCGTATTTTATTTTATGTTCTCAGTTATTCTCGCATCAGTTTCACGATTTTTTCTTCAAAATAAATAATAAATAAATAAAAAGGATGATTTGCAGAAGATATTCGCGTTTATCGCGCTGCATCGAACCTATCTTATTGTTAGTAGACTTTACGCGTGACAGTTTGTCTCTGAAATTCACATAAGCATGTATAGTAAGAGCAATCATACGTCTAGAGTAAGATGATAGTCACCGAGAAGAAGCTTAGTCAGGATATATTCATGGATCCAGTTATCCGCGGAAACTCTTTTTCCCGAATTACTCGAGTGTCGAAGCTCTAAAACGCTTAATCTGTATCCAACTATGGCGATACACGTTCCGGCATATTTCCATACCATTATGCAAAGAGGCCGCACCGGTAACATTACTCTCCGCGGCACAGCCACCACTACCACACCATCGTCGACATACACTCGTGGTGGTAAAGCATTACGGCATATATACTCCATCGATTTATTATAATTTAGATTGTCTTCTAAGAACCTCGGCTATACGTGCACACATACGTATACACGGCACGCCTTAATGTGCCGGGCGTTCGTTAATTATTCCACCGGTATTCTGTAAATATGCATGAATTATATATCTGCAGGCACGCAAGAGCAGAAAGCGACGAGAAAACGTGTGATTAATACATTTTTTTTCGCCCTAGAAGTAAATTCTCGCCTTCGCGCATAATCTTTCACGGTCGTTCGCGCCGTTGAAAGATTTTTGGAAGTTGCACACGATTGCAACGTATGTCGCGCACGGCTGCATCAAATTGGTATTGATTAAATCGGGCGGTCGGTTCGATGACCAAGTTAATTTCAAAAATGTGTTATTGAGCGTGAATAACTAAATCACTTTGCACGCGTTACTGGATTATGTTTATGGGCAAGTACCGATATCGGCAGATAATACAGACGAGCTCAATTTTCATTGCCATGTATAAGTGAAAATTGATATTCGACAATGATCCCCGAAGCATCGTAAGCCTCATTGGTTTGTGTATCGCGCTAATTATTTTCACTAATCTACTTTCACATATATTTCACTTTGTGTCATTGTTTCTTCTGGCTTTTGTCAAACTAAAATAATATATTTCAATAAATATCAATCACATAAATTGTAAATAATTATTAATCTGTTTTTCGCGTTAAATGTAATCACCGCAATAAAAATTGCTAGCTTGTGTTAAAATCTTTGCGTGGCTATTTAATTAATTCACGCGAGAGGAAATGCAATCCATACTATCTAAAAACGGTCAAGAGAGTGTGTGATTTTTCAGCAAAATATAACCTGTATATTGATATATTAATTAGAGTTAATTAATTAAAACAATATTATATTACCAGCACAATTATCCAGCATAATAAATTATTAGTAGAATTCAATTTAGAAGCACTTCTTATAACGTTTGCCTATACATTAAAAGTAATATAGTTTCAATCTAATTTCTAATTATATATTAATGAATCTATATTTCTGTTGCAGGACAGCGATAGGAGTAGCGCTGGAAGTCCCGAACCGGCGACAGGTGGTGGTGCGCTTCACGAACATCAAATGATGATAGATGACATAAAGAATTCACGAAAGAGACGACGGAGCCCATCACCCGAAAATCTTCATCAAGCGAAACGTGCGGCGGTTGCACAAGCTCATCTAAACGGAACGAGTAAATATCTTTTTTCCCTCAAAATTTTATATATATATATCGATTTTCTCTCGATATATCGACATTGCGCTCTCACTGTCGAAAATTTTGTGCATAGTGGCCGGTATGGTGACACTTCAGAATCTCCAGAACTTAGCGAATTTGCAAAATCTTCCACAAGTTGCGTCATTGGCCGCTGGTCTTCAAGGGATGACGGCGGGATTGACTAATAATCAGTTAATCAATACTCCTTTGAATCTGACTGTCAGCTCGTCAGGTAAGCAATGATAGAAATAATAATAAATTAATCGAAATTTTTGATATGGAAATTAAAAATGAATATAGAAACTCGCACGGTTAAAGTTGGAACACGGAATCGAGGATTGCGCGAGAATTAAATGACAAAGGTAATCTAACGCGGTGAAATTGTTAATTTTCATTCCCAGGTGGAACGATACCAACAGCCTCGAGTACGACAGCGGCTCCCCACCTTCTGCCACCTAGCTCGGCTCCAATGGCGACGTTACCTCAGCTATTATCTCAACCACAACCGGTTGCAATGCCTCAATTCATCCTAACGTCCGGTCAATTGGTTCAGGGCATTCAAGGGGCTCAGCTTCTTATCCCCACTTCACAAGGTAAGCTTCGCTAACACGTGCATACATTTTCATCATTTCCCGTATATATACATATATATATATAGTTGACCTTTCCTTTGATCGTATATCTTATCTCGTCGTAATATTGAGTTTGATTGTGTCGTCGCGAGTAAGATTTAGAAAATTATAATAATTTCAATTATTCAAAATTTTATCGACACAATTTCCGCTTGTAAAATCAAGGCGCGTTCGCTGTGCGAAACACATAGTAATCCGACGCTGTGCCGGCGCATAATGTTGTGCAATCAAGATGTGCCGATATATAATATAATATCGACTATCTCTGACCAGCTCGGACTAAGGCCGGTCCGTCGTCCATACTTAGTGGTCCTAGACTGCCTCGGCGAGCACAGGGCAAACTCTGCAACTAATTTCAATGTATAATTAACGTCTCACTACCCCTCTCCAACCCCACGGATCCCACCCCGTTTTACTTCCTTTCTCGGGTTCGTCCTTCCCTCCCCTTTCTCCTTTCCTCCTTCGCTCCCCTCCCTGTTTCTAACCCTAGCACTCACTGGACATCGCAGCTCCGCGGATTCGACCGCTATTATATCGATTGCGGTCCGCGCTAACTTCGTTTCTACCAAGTTGGGTTCCTATTCTGGCAATTGAGAGAGAAAGAGAAAGACAGAGACAAATGGAGAGACAGAGGGAGGGAAAGAGGAGAGAAGAGAGAAAGAGATAGAGATATAGAGCGTACGGAACAGGTAGAGAATGAGAGGCAGAAGGAGAACTTTGGGATTCCGCCTAAGTGGATTGAAGTTCGTGGATATGGACCGGCCGCGGTAGAATGACGAGTTACGTGGCGGCAAATAATGTTTGCACTGCTTTTCGGCTCAATCGATGGTAACTGACTAACGCTCGATTGGTCTCTGATAGACATCGAGTATCGGCGAGGATGAGTCGAGGAGTGCTCGAGAGTGCGGTCAATAGGTTGTCGTTCATAGAAATTATTGTCCGCGCAGGAATGTCCGGCTTTATTTAAAGTGATATCAGCCGCCCGAGATTTTATTCGTGTCGCGCATGAACGATTAAGATCCGGCGAGGATTAAAATACAAGAGAGATCTCATGCACGTTTTAATCGTTAAGAATATAAATAGAATTAAGAATAAAAATAATATCCTCCAATTTTTTCTTTAGATATAAATTAGAAATATAAATTAGAAATGATATATATTATATATATATATAAATTATTTATATATAAAATTTTCGACTTTTAAACAATTCTTCGTCCTTTGACAGATAATAAGACACGTAAACTCTAATTATTATATCGCTATCGCGGATAAGATAAATAAAATATTTTACGAATCTCGTCGCGGATTTATCAGATGTGAGTTGACAGTACATTATTGACGGTGTATTAACGGCGCGTTATCGTTCGGCAACGTTTGAACTGCACGTTAATAGGATTGTCGGTTGACCTTACCTCAGAACGTGAAACTTTTATGGCTGTTCGGAATACGGGATTTGCTTAGCTTAGCTGTAGGTGGCAACACGGGTACGTACTCATGATCAGTAATCATATTAAGCGCGTGTACAGGGTAATCAGATTAGCGGAGCTGGAGGTAATCCCGAAACTATTCTAAGTATGATTAGGCGTCCTTCTCGCAGCGCAGTCCAGTGCCAGTACCTGTACCCACTATTAAGATGACGATAATAGTTTGCCAACTACGCTAGCCTGCGAGGTTACCTGCCCTATGGGTTGCCTAATAATCCCTCTATGAGACTCTGATAACTTTACCACCCATCCTGGATCAACGACGCGTGGACTATGTTCATAATGAAAATGAAGTATCTATTGATTCGAGATACGATTATACAGCACTTTCGAAGGATATCATAAATTAATTATCCTTTCTCACTTGTAATATTCCATCGATATTAGCATGTCATTTAATATAAAAAATATTTCCTATTCCCCAGGGATCGCTACGCAAACCATTTTGACCATACCAGTCAGTCACGTCACGAATAATCAAATGGTAAATTTGGCGCTCAGTAATGGACAAGTAGTTTCTACGACACTGGCGAATCTTCAGTCTCTAGCTCAACCACAGAATATGCTTAATACGCCTACGAGCAATGGTGAGTTAATATATTGTTTTAAAACGTTTATTATTAAAATATTATATATTTTTATCAGAATATTAATATATATATATGTATAATTGTTCTCTTGTTTGCTAATAATTTTTCAATTAATAAATAATTGTTTCCAATATATCATATTATATAGAATTGAAGAATAATATACTTAATACGTATAAATAATTTTTAAAATATCTGAATTTAATGATATTTTCAAAAATATAAATGTTCAAAATTAAATTTTTTTATCTTTTTATTAAAATTGCTCTAATTTTAAATTTCTATATATAAATTTTTCCTTATTAAATTATAATATAAATGTTTTGACGACATTGTAATGTCTCGTCAAATGCTTAGACATGTCAAGATATATGTATTATGGCTGTGTATTGTGCCTATTCTGTGATTAACGTAGCATCGGATATCGTACTATGTGTGCGTTTGCTTGTCCTTTTATCAGTTCCCACGAGCCCCAGCCTGGCATCGGGATTAGGACTGAACCCTGCTGCTTTGCCGCATCTTCTGAGCAATAGCTCGGCAAGCCAACAACTTCTGAACGCGATGCAGCCTCAGCAACTGCTCCAGGCTGCCCAAGCGGCACAGGCGCAAGCGGCGCAGGCTGTACAGGCCGTTCAGGCTTCTCAGCAACCACTTCTAACGACATCGCCTCAACAGCACAGCCACCGACACACCTCGCATATGAATCATTACACAGTATGTACGACTGGCCACAAAGAAGCCTATCATTTTTCGAAAATATGTAGCAGACAATTAGTATAAAATACTACGAGAACTTTTTAAGAAAGCAAAAAAAATATTTTAAAAGATCTACATCATTCTACATTATTAATATAACTTATTTTTAATGTTATTATTTTAATTTTATATATATTTAATATATAATATTATTTCATAATTACTTTTTGAATTTAAAAATAATTATATAATTTTATATATAATATATATAATATATGTATTATATATTTATATATATATATATATTTAGATAACTGTTCTTGTAGATATAAAATATAATCTTTCATGTCATACTACACAGAATGAAATTGATACGTCCATCATTACTTGTTACGGTTTCAACTATCTATACATCTACGTGATATCACAAAAATATGAAGCCTATTGTAAAAGAAAATATTGCTTTTTACGAAAACCGTAACTATCATATATTTCGTGCTTTATCTCAATAGCGATCGTCTAATATGTTATTCTCTTAATTTTATCTATAATCTTTCATCGACAAACAATATGTTGTGTAGGAATTGAAAAAGATATCTTTGCTGACTTCTCTTTTCCAAATTTTTTCAACAATGCAAATTGATTTTTATCGAATCGCATGACGTACTCGAACAATCGAATATACACAATTTCCGTGATACGGAGAAGACTCAACGGCGAGATCAGCGGAGCAACTTGAATAATTCTCGATATTGAGCGATCTTGTTAAGAAAGTATTCCGTCAGTACTGGCGGCATTCCTTCCGCTAATTAGACTCTAAAGTGTCCCGATCCGAGCGGTTCCGTCTCATTATTAAGTGCATAATTGGCGCGGAAGAGGAGCATTGTCATGTCTTCGCGGTAGAGTCCCCGCTAATCTGTCCGCTACTACTGTATTGTTCACAGCCAACGGAAAAACATCACAGGGAACGACCGGAGCAGTCGTCGCCTTTGAACGAATCTGTCGTGTCCGCCGCATCCGCCTTGAACAGATTGGCCGCCAGCAACGGCGAGATTACCATCACGACAACGCATGGACCAGGCGGTGTCGGACTAAAAGCTTCCCCGAGCAATATGCATAGCCCGAAGGAAGAGGAGGATGATCTCCTGAACGATTCACCGAGTAAGAGATACAGCTTATTTCTTTTTCGCGCAATAACTATTAATCGGTGGGGGGGGGGGGTCGAAAGTCAAAATGATCTGTGCGGTTTACTTGGCAGTGCGTTTAAAATGACACATCAACATGCGCGTGAAAATGATAATCGAGGCCCCGAGGGTAACCGTGTTGTTATTTCTTGACAGCTTTTAATTACAACTTTTGCAGAGGACATCGTCTTCCTATATTCGCAATCATCTTGCCTATATAGAGAAGCACAGTTGCTAATGTCGACAAGTAATTGCATGCATAATGATCTCACTTAAAGAAGCAATTACCACATGCAAACGCGTTTCTTATCTTTATCTTGCCAAGTTGTCACATTCTAACTGATATCTTTGACAGGGACGTTAATCGCGGCTACGTGTGATTGTATATAAATTCGCAAACGTATATTTCTGATAATTGAAGCGTGCACGCATACTATTTTTCAATTTTACCGCGATTGTTCAAATACTTCTCTTCAACAATACGGTAAAAACTGCCGTCGCACAAGACGCGATTTAATATTTAAATGCGCGTTTCTGTAGCTGGCAAATAGTATTTCGAACGGGCATCGATCGTTTGATAACTGTAATAGAATATCATATAACACTCATTACGGTGCATTAGTTCGCTGCTTACTGCCTTCTAGGAAGCCATAAAGATTCCAGCAGCGCGCGTAACCTCGTGTTGGCTGACAATAATTTTAATAACTTACAATCATCGCGTAGACTGGCACTTCGTCATTCTGACGCGGTGGAATAATCATTCAACGCGTGAAGCTAACGATTCTCAATTGCTGGTGTTAGATGGGAGCAAAACTTCATAAATATTTGCCTTTACTAACCATTCTCCGATAATATTTCAGTGATTCGCATAGAAAACAGGAAGCAAAACTACAATTACAAAAAATATGATCTTATATAATTTCTACTGTGTTGTATAATTAATATATTTCAAGTTTTTATTACATGAATTTGTAAGTAATTAAACTTTAGTCATATATATATATATATATATATATATATATATATATATATATATCAAGAATTATATTTAATTTAATGCAATTTGCAACTCGTATACTACTTGGAATAAATTAATTAATAAGCGCGATTAGTTGCAAAAATTTTGTGTTATAATCGAATCTAATGCATTCGCAACTTTTTGTTTGAAACGTGCAAAGTACTTATGGGGCCTCGATCGAAAATTAATGATCACAGAAATATCGTGCCAGAAGAAGGATTTGCAGTTTCGCGCGGTGCAGAAACCAGGCAGACTGGTCGAGATTACGGGCATTTCTATTGCATGCGTATACATTCGGGGTGACAGATTTACGAGAGAAATCGTTACAGCTTGAACTGCTGTAACGAAGCTGCTTGATGTCATTAGCCGTCTCATAAGAGCTTCGGTACGTTCCGATGAATCGATTGAAATGTGTGCTCGAATGACTAGCAATGAATCCCTGGCTTGTGCTCAAAATGCACCATTAGAATCATAAAACTGATCACACGCGTGACGCAAGAATGTTTATCGCATTAACCCTTGAACCACGAATATTTCATCTCGTTTACAATTGGCTCGGTATCCTATCTGCGACTAACTTATGAGGTGATTCATACAATCAAGAATTCGTTTAAACAATTGTTATAAAAAAATAAGAATATTCAATAAACGATAAAATTACTAGTAAAAAATTTAAAATACTGAATAAGAAACTCTTGCTAATTTATATTTGGAATTTATTCAGCATAAAATTAGACTTAATTTTTCTTTGCTAAAAAATTAAAAACCAGTAAATCGTGATTTATTTATTTTTTTTTATTAAAAAAAATCAGAGTAGAGCGTTATATGAACTTTCATTACAGACCAACCAACGATCAATGAAGCCACTAACAATGTGGTCGATGGGATCAATTTGGACGAGATCAAGGAGTTCGCGAAAGTCTTTAAGCTGCGTAGACTATCGCTGGGTCTGACACAGACCCAGGTCGGGCAGGCCCTGAGCGTCACCGAAGGACCCGCATACAGCCAAAGTGCCATATGCAGGTTAGTTTTCGTTGCGTCGTCCTCCTCGCGTTCGTCGAAACGGACGTCGCTAATGAGAATTCAATAATATGGTAGAATGTAAAACGACAGTGTGCCAGGTCACTGGAAATGGCGTAGAAAGGGTTGGAATTAGTTCACGGAGTAGCAAAAAGAGAAATAGTGATCCGTTCGTTTTATAATAGTATCTTTCATTAGGAATAAACGCCCGAATATAAGGCTCGCGAAACAGTTTTATACTTTTGTTTCCTCATCCTCGTGTGATAATATTAAACAAAATTGCTATTCGCGTCTAATTTATCGCAACGTTTGAAATTCGTTCAAAGACTAGAAAATTTTCGATGCAGCTTTCGCAGGTACATTATTTAATTTGGAGGTGCAAGATAAACTTATTTATACCAGCATACACCACGATGGTTCCTGATTTATGCTGCAGCTTAAATGTAGATCTAATTTTTGATACTATCAATAATTAGAAATTACGTTAATTTAAAGATATCCGTAGAGAAATTTCACAAAATTATTATACGTTCATAGTGAACGTATAACGGGTAATAAATGTTTATGAATATGGGCTTTCCAGACTTATACTATTTACCTTCTTCGTCGATCGAGCGTGTCGATTCGAAATGCGAATGGGAACCACCGTGGTGATGCCGGTAACGAGCAGAGAGAAAAAAGTTTATACCTTTTAAAAAATTCTTATCGTAAATCAACTAACATAAGCATTGGTGATTGTTCCCCAGTGCCCTGGCTACCCAGATGTACGCTGCCTCGCAGATTGCCTCTCAGCAGCAAGCTACGTACGTTCACCCCTCATTGCGCTACTTAATTTACCTAAAAATCTAAAAACTCGAAAATCCTTTAAGAAATCGCAGTTATACCCAACGATGGAAAATTGAGAACGTATCTTCCGACGGTCGGGAGAAGGAGCTTTAAAAAGAGAGAAAGAGAACTATAATCGATCAATCAATCGTTAATGTCAACGACGCATAAAAATCAGATACAAGATATAATCTAATTCTCTCTTCTCTCTTCGTCATTTGCGCTCATCCGATTTCGCGGTCTTCTCCTGCTTTAGAATCGGCAGGCGTATTTGGGTATAGCTGCACAAGCACTCTCACTAATTTCTAATTCCGTTCGGAAAAGAGATGCGCGAAAAGGAGCACTTCTAAAATTAACTTTCTTCGAGCCAGGGCATTGGCAAACTTGGGCATGATGTCGCCAACGCGCTAAGAATAAAAGAATAGAACAAAGTCGAAGGACTCTCGCAATTTTTAACGTTCGTCGAGTCTATAAAAGCTCTGGATTTCTTCACGATCAAAGTCCGAGAGACTCGAACTTTCGCCCGCGCGAGAGAGAAGCGTTTGCGTAGCGCGTTGGCAACATCATACACGGCATCACCAAACCTTAAAGCATGCACGCATTGTCAATGTCCTGTTATTGAATCAATGCATGTTTCTTAGTGCTCCTTTAGTGGGACAAAGACGTAAGGCCGAGAAGTAAATATACGCTAACAAGAGAAAATATAAAAAAAAAACAAATTACATATTTTATTATATATATTGTATTATGTACGAAGTTGAAGATTTCATCATTTTACGTCTTTGTCATTTTGTCTCTCGATACGCACATCCATTTCCTTCCATTATTTTTTCTCAATTTCCCGAGAAATTGAAATCTAAGAAGATGGATCAAGCCTTATTCTTGGCTTTAGATTCGAAAAGCTGGACATTACGCCGAAAAGCGCGCAGAAAATTAAGCCGGTCCTCGAAAGGTGGATGAAGGAGGCAGAAGAGAGGTGAGTAATACCACTACAATATTTTGTATTAATAAGAATTATTACATCGCGAACACACATCGTGAGAAGTTTCTTTTTCTTCGACATATAAAATAATAAATGCAACGATCTCTTTTTATTTTCCATATAAACGCGCCGTAATTAATTTAAATTTAAATAACCGAGTATCTCGCTCTGCTATTCTCTCTAGACACGCGGAATTCTCTCGATTACGAGTCAAGTCCTAATGTTGTATTTGTGATACATGATTATTTCGCAATCGTCCGATGCGACCTCGACTTCGCGTCTGCACGAGAGCGTGCGAACGTGTACGTGCTAATTGGTAATTCGCTAATTGAATTCACCTGATTAATTGCGGATCTGCGTCTAATAAATACGCGGAATGTTAATTAGAATGGAAGAAACCGTTACGAGATGCTGCGCGATTCAGCTACAGGCAACTACGCGGCAAATGCGGCCACGATGGTTTTCGCTCCGTGTCGCGAGAGATCCGCCGATCCTTAATGCTTAAGAATCTCGGACTCGGTATTTTCATGAGGTGTAAATTTTACGAGCCGATATATAAAATCTAATGAACTTTATTTAGCCGCGAGCTAATCAGGAGTCCATGTAGCCGCGTCACGGCTGGAAAAGCATCGCGATGCAGTTTTGACATCATGCAATCTGAGTGCTGATGCATTTTTCTCCGCTTTTATAGCTTATAACTTTTCTGAAATTAAATTGGAAATTAAATTATCATATACACAAGTTAGGTGATTATATTATTATTATTGCATATTTTTTCTGATTTTTATTCCCATGATTATTGCTTAATTATATGCAATCTTACTTAAAAAATATTGGACATTTCCATGTGATTCCTATTTAATTTTCCATTTAAATACGATAATTTTTAATGCGAAAAATTCTGCGTATTTATATTATGAGATTATAAAAAGTAAATATAATTTAAAATTGAGCGACCCCATTTAGCACTAAATATAAACGATATTAATGCAAACATACGGATCGATGTTCTCATAATTTCTACATTTGTAACTACAAGCATAAATCGACGGAGACGAAAGAAACAGCAGCAGTTTGCTATCAAACAGTTCGTGTTTATTCGCACAAAAGCGTGTTGCTTGAAGCAACGATAAAATCATTACGCTTCGATCCGCGGAGGAAAGATCCGCGGAAAAAGCGCAGCGCGGTATAATCGAATGATTCGATGACGGAAGTGGCGACGCGACGGCTGTACGCATCGTTTCTCTTTTCACGGGGAAAACCGGCAACAACAATGACCCATCCTGCATTCGCACGGCGTAGAACTAAGCGTCGACCGTGCGCCGGCCGCGTCCGGGAAAAATGAAAGCGGCTAGTTTATGCGGTGCACGTGCACGATTTATCTGCCGAGTAATTAAACTGTGGACTAATTAAAATCAGGTTTCTGATGTACCTCTTCCCCTGCGTCCCTCTACCCCACTCCCTTACCGCCGTCACCTCGCTCTTATCCGCGGCAGCGCAACGCGACGTTCCCTTCCTTTCTCTCTCTCTCTTTCTCTCTGTCATTCCTTTCACACTCGCAGCTTCTACCACCTTCCCTCTGTTCTCGTCTTCTTCCTTCCTTCTCTCATCGTTCGTCTAAACCTCTCCTCGGAGATTATATATTCCTCTCTTACACCTATATATATATGTAACAATACTTTGTACACCCACGCAGAAGTTTACCCGCAGCTTCCCTTCGCAGCCTCTCTTTCTCTCTCCTTCTTCGCGTCTTTTACGTATTAACTCATTTATTTTCATCTCTTTCTTCGTCTTTCTCCTCTCCCTCTTCTTGCACTCGGCGTTTCTCTCCATTGCATTCATCGGTATATACAGTCGCATACCAACGATGTAACATCCCAACCCCGTCGAATCGGTTCGTCGGTCGCGTCGGTTCTTCGCGCTCTCACACCGACTTCTCCATTAGCATATTGTTTTCGCGAATTCGACGAAATATTACCGCGCGATGCTAATGTCTCGCCGTGTACTTTTTTTCGAGTCGACAGTTGGTCATTCGGAGTTAAATTAAAAACATAAATTTTGAGCCGGGGTACTGCAACCGTACCTATGACCGTATCAGCACGTCGAGCTCTCTCTCTCTCTTTCTCTCCCTCTCTCATTTTGTCTCTCTTTGTTCCCGCAGCCTCCGTCCCGAACCGCTTCTCATCGCTCACCCGGGAGTCCCAACGGAAGTTCTCCTGTTTACTGTCGCGACCGCGAGCTTTTTCCATGTCGCGCTGTACCCGATAATACTATTCGTCGAATGAAATTACGTCGACCGGTCGCACGACGCCAAAAAAGTTTGCATATTCTCGATCCAAGAGATCTCTCGAATTTATAAATTTCTTTCAACTTATTTGTTCGCAACTGGAGTAATATATCGTGAGAAGTATAACAACGAATTTCGCAACGGCAGATTATATAATGATAAATTCAATAATTATTATAAAATCATTAAAAGATAACGTACATTAGTTTAATTAACCATTTTAATTAACCATCAGAAAATAATTGAGAAATAACGCGAATATATATACTATATATCGATTTGAACGCAGAAACTATCCGAGATTTAATGAGCTCATTGTACAATGAATAAAATAGAAATTGAAGTTTGAAAAACGCCGCGACTCTCTTCGATTGCTAATTTTATTCGTGTCGACACCGACCGTCGCAAGGTCTGTTTCGCGATACATGGACTAAGTTCGGCTCGTGAATCAACCGAGCTGTTACACCAGGAGAAAAATCCAATACTGGACGGGATATTTGCGACCGAACATGTTCGAATATCATGACGTTGGCGATTTCTTTTTTTGTTTTTTTTTAATCAGTATCCTGTTTCGCGTTAATGTAATTACGAGTATGCAAAATGGTAAACAGAATTATGTTTTTCACATTTGATTTACTTATAACAATATTTCAACAAACCGCAGGAGCAATGCTGAACTCAATGTATAGATGCATGTAATTAATTATTGTAAAAACGTGGTGATTAACTCAGACCTTTAAACACAGGATCCTATTTCGCGACTATATATATATATATATATATATATGTATACATATATAATATAATCGCAAAACGGGAAACGCAAAATTAATCATAAATGATAACGTTAACATGTAGCAATGTCGACGATGCAATCTTCCGAATTTGAGCAAGAGTAGTGCATCTGATTCCAGGTACAAGAGCGGCGTTAATCATCTGACGGACTTCATCGGGGTAGAACCGAGCAAGAAGCGAAAACGACGGACCTCCTTCACCCCTCAAGCTTTGGAACTGCTGAACGCACACTTTGACAGAAACACTCATCCCACCGGTTAGTTTCGCACATTCTTCATTTATCTCTACTATTATTAAATTTTTTCGTATTAAAAAGAAACTTTTTCTTGTCGCGAAATTCTGTTTCAAACCCATCTTATATACTTGAACGCATTGAAAGTTTCGATTCTTGTCCTTTACAGGTAATGAAATCACGACTCTAGCGCATCGACTAGGATACGATAGGGAGGTGATAAGAATCTGGTTCTGCAATAAGAGGCAAGCTTTGAAGAACACGGTGAGGATGATGTCGAAGGGCGTCGTATAGGGAAGGACTACATCTACCGATCAACCGAGCAACATTTGAGACAAGCTTCAAGCTGAAGCGAGCGATGAGGAACACGTTCCGTGAACTTTTTCAAATCTCGCGTTTCTTCTAGTAATATATAAATAAATTGAATCGCGCGTGAGAGAACGACTTTTCTGTGATTCATTACGGAACAGCAAAGGAAAAAGGTATTCATATATATAAACCCGCAGAAGAAATACCGCAGTTATGAAATTTCGAAAATCCGACACACGGAAAGATCGTTCTAGATCGAGGCGAGGTCCTTCGAATATTGTGATCGCAGGTGTATACGACATCTATATGTAAATAGCTTTAATCTACGAATATGTGATGTATACATGAGTCGAATATCGAAAACTGATAATCTAAAATCGTTGTCTCTCATTTGGTACCAATCCGTCGCGCGCTTCCAATTTTCATAGATATATATCTAGCAGAGAACACACACTGATCCAGTTTCGTGTTTCGAACGAACGGGTTATTGGCAATTGGTAAGCATCAACGAACCGACGAACGTAGATTCTTCTGACGATCAAAATTACGATGAAAAAATTTATCGAGCAACGATAGAGAAACTGCTTCCAATACGTCTTAATCAATTAATTGCTTGAGTGTGACACGTCGGGACACACGCGTACGTTTCTCGCGAAATATAATCCACCAAAACCGGGCGGAAAGGTATGTAAGTCGTCGCACAGAGATAATAATTAATAAAAATTTAATTATACCTTCAAAACGGTTATTTACGAGAATGAAGCGGCGAACGTTTTAACATCTCTACGTGCAATCGATACATAATCAAATGGCGTAACAATCGAGAATGCACTCAAAATCGAAACACTCGATGGGTGGTAAATCTTTTGCGCGCAATAAGAACTGTAACTGAATTTATGTACCGAACCGAGGAAATTAATTACATTCCGGTCTTGAAATATCGTTGTCGCTCGTTGAGTTGGGTAAATAAAAATATCGCTTATTAAATAATAAAAATATCAAATCTCATTACCTCTCTCTTTCTCTCTCTATTGATTATATAATATATCAAATCCCTTATATACATACACAATTAAAACGAGCAATGATAATATTTCTACATGTTATAATTTCGGTGAAAAGTTTTTAATGCGCGCGAGATCTGTAAATTACACGTGTATCTAGAAAAATCAATGAAATTCCTTTAGTGACTAAATAACGCAATAACGTCTTTGAAAGTATGCTATTAAACGATTATATACCACACGCCGCTCCTGAAGTTGTATTTGTTAGTCCTGTAGGAAAAGAGAGACGGTTTAGGGGGACAGACGAGATTCGAGTTTCTGCAAAACTAGTCCGTAATAATCTGCCATATAAGACGTATACGTGTTAAACGAGCACGCATCCTTCGTTCCTATACATATATGCGCGATCCGCTTATTCGCTGAATAACGATGAAGCTCGGAAAACTTCGATTTTACTAGAGCTCGATTCCGATCTGCGGGATATTCGACGAACGATATAATTCTTCGATTACGAGAAAACGCTTCTGCGCGCGTTATTTCATATTTCTATCTTGATTTTGTAAAGCGTATTTAATACAGCGTCGCGCGACAGAAGGAAAAGTTGGAAGGCGGTCAAGTAATATTCGTATATATTTGTTCGCGAGTGTAGATTATTTTTATATATATATATATATATATATATATATATATATATATATATTGCGACAAATATTACAGATGCGTAATTTCGAAATCGAAGAATTATTGATGCATTATTACTGTGTCCCTTTCAACAAAGAAAAAATCATAATCATAAATAAATAAATACCTAAATAAACATGGCCATGTAAAATCGCCTCACGCATAATAATAACTATATTAGACGATTGATTTGCATGCGTCGCTACATACGAACGCATTATGTTGTGACGCAGTCATTTAGCAACAAGCGATCGACAACCCGCAGTCGTATTTCCGCGTAAAATGATATTTAAATGATGCCCATAAAGATATGGTTTTCTTAATATTTAGCAGACAAGTACATTTAATGGGTAAGATTGTGCATAAAATGTACTTCATCCTCTTTATATAATGGGCTATTCGCTACGATAATATCGTGAAATCTTTAACATGATGCGTAGCTAGGGGCGCAAGGGGGTAGCCTGTACATATTTACGATACACATTGTAATATTATAATTAACTTTTATTATATCATAGCTATAAAATAGCTGAATTCAAGCAAAGAAAATTTACATGGTTAAAAAAATAATAAATTTCTAAAATAAAACATATTTTAAGGTTTTACTTTTAAGAGCCTGAGATGAGCAAAGTGATCTGTTCCTAAAATATTGTATTATACGAGTAAAAGAGAGAATGAGAAAGGAGAAGGCACGAGTGTGGGGGGTTCGGAAAGATGTACGACGAGATAAAACTCAAAATTCAAAATTTTTATTACAGGGGTGGGATGTGTATGTTATCCGTTTTGATAAAAAAGCGAAAATGTTTGTACAGAAATATTCCGGTTATTAAATTTTGTTATAAGAGAAAGAGAGAAAGAGAAAGAATGAAAGGGGAAGAAAGCGAGAGAGAAAGAGAAAGGTGAAAAAGAGCAGAGCGTCAAAAAAGACGCGCCGTAGTGATAAAAAATAAAAACGCGAAAACAGTTTAAGAATCATGTGTATTTTCTTCGTGAAATTGAAATATTCGAATAGATCCATATGAAAATATAAACATGAGTATTACAAAAAAACATGTGAATTGTATTCGTGAATGTCATATTTCTAAGGAAGATAGATCCACGGGCAAATGTTTTATAGCAGTTTCCAGCTGAATTTTTGCTCGTCTTATCTGGTGATGATTTTCGTAAACTCAAAAAATAGACAAAATATAAAAACGGATAGCCCTACGTCACATAACCGAGTAATAAAGAAAAAAATAAACATTCCTGAAAAAAGCCATGTCGAGTTATAAAATAAAATAAAAAAAAATCACGAATCAATAAGAGGAAACTGCTCCTGAAACATTGCCCAGCGAAACCAAAGTTCCTACTACGTTTTATAAAGTATATAACTGAACTGCAGAACATTTGAATTGTAAATATGATGAACGCAAAGTTAAGCTAATAATCATGATACAATCAGCAATTTAACGATGCTAAAATACGACTCGCCGATCAATTGATTCGACATTGCCACTGTCGGAGAACATCGATCGACCTTACTATGGAAAGAAAATCACGCAGCTCGGTAAGCCGTCTTCGTTGAAGGCGGGAATCAATTGATTTTGGCAACGAAATAAGCACACAGTCGGCAATTAAGCACATAAGTATACAATTAAACTAAGCAGCCGTAGCTCTAGCTTGAATGTTAGCACCTAGGCACACACGATGTAACATTAAATTACGTATTTAAATGAAGGACAAGAATCTTAGCTGTTAAGCGAATACCTGTGTAAAATTTAGTAGGTGTCCACAAAAATAAAATAAAAACATATATTGTGGTACAAATAATAAAAAGTCGCACCTATTGCTTTTCGCGATTAAAATTTCGTTTGAGTTTTAGACAAATAACTTCAGACGAGTGTCACAAGTACACGATTTTTGTAACATATGTGCATATAACATATCTGAGCTATAACTGTGAGAAATGAGAAAAAGCATTTCTAAGCTATAACTGTTTAAAGACGTAGAATTTTTTCTCCTTAACACAGTTTTAGTTCACAATAATATTCTTTTTTTCTTATTCTAATATAATTTCAGGTACGTAGTAGATTTTACAAGTTATTTCTTATACCTTATTATTGATAAAAAATCAATATTAAAAACAAGTCATAAATAAAAAATATTTCAATCGTATTTTTTTTTAAGTTTTCCCTTAAATATATATCGTTATAATTTTCCTATTTTGATACTTTAATGATAATATATCAAAAGATAATAATTTCAAGAAATCTCCTACAATGTCATTGACTGAGAACAAAGATACCTGCTCTACGCTAAAATTGCTTTTATATTTTATCGTTTAATCTCTGTGTTAATCAATTTTATATCAACTAAATTTATTAATCAACTCTATTAACCAATTCAAAATCAGGCTTGTCATCAGAAACAGAAGCTCTATCTACTTTACTTGACCACTCGATAATGCCATAACCGACCATTCCAGCGCACAATATTCCGATTAAGAGATATAGTTTCGTAAAGGTACACAGATATGGGCTATACACATATGTTATCACTGAACCAGTGGACTCCCACAGGCGGAAATTGGAGAAAGCTGCTTCTTCTTGACCAGGAAATAATATACCGCTTAAGGCTGAAAGTTAATTTCCAAAATCAGTCTTTTTATCTAAATTAATTAATAACTAAACTCTATTATTAATATATTCACTAACAGAACATTTTTTAGAAAAATTTATAGAAATATCTATATAAAACTCGACTGTGTACTACTTGTTGGTACAGTATCATCAGATGAGAACGAAATGTTCATCTGTTGGTACAAACTTACACGCAGCAACTAAATTAGAAAATGCGATTTAATTATCACACAACAATTTCGAAATTATCAACAATATATATAATACATTAATATTAAGTATATAAAACTATTCTGCAATAACACAAAATTTTATCAAGAGGCATTTATATTGTATTGCAATTTATTCATCTCGCTCACCGTTAACTTGTACCAGCCAGATTGAATCGCACACACCCCATATACCTGACACCAAGAAAAAGATAATGCCCTGTTCTGGCGTTGGTTTCCATCGTAATATAAAAATTAAGAGACTCAAGTGCAAACAAAAAGCGAAGAACATTACAGGCTTTCTTCCGGTCAATTTCACAATAGATCCCGTGGCGAGTGCGGCTATAGCGTTTGTGACACCAAAACATATCATCACGTAACCGATGTTGCTAATTCCCCAAGCGCAAGAAACGAATGACTGTAATAAATATATAAACCGTTATTTATTATTTTCTTTTTTTCTTTTTTTTTTAGAAAAAAGATTTTCTTTTATTTCTAGCGTGAGCAGAAATTTTATTTTAAATGTTTCTTTATTCTCGTAGTTTACTAACTGCATTGTAATCGGCAAATAAAAATGCCTGCTCAGCTCCGATAAATAATATTATCGGCAATATTAAAAGTTGGTTCTTCTCTCTCAACAACTTTAATGTCACGGCCAGAAGCTTGAATCCAGACTTTCCTTTCACTGAACGAGCTCTGCTTCTATCGTATCTATAAAGTATAAATTACAGCGTCAAGAAACTCTTATGTAATATCCTGTAAATTTTGTTATATAAATACGATGTTTTGCTATATTTGATGAAGATGGATGATGAGCAAAATATAAACACAGAATATACCTGGATAAAGAATCAACACCAAATGCAATTATTAAACAAGCTAATATCATACAGCCTAAGTAAATTCCAGAAATTAGATATATTCGTTCTACAGGAGGTCGCTGCAGATTCGGATTTTCCTCTTCCATACCAGATACTCCACAGAAATTTGCACCGCATTTTTTTGCCACAATACTACTATTCAGAGTTACATTTCTGGTAACTGTTTCGATACCATAAGAAAGAACTGTAAAAAAAGTTATATGCAAAAATGAAACTAATTGATTTTATTAATAATAATAAAATTTTCTTGTAAAAAAGGTAAATTTGTCGAATTTGTAAATGCGTTAAAAATTATGAAATATATAATAACACGTAGGATAAGACACGCTATAAATATTATGTCGTTTTATAGAGTAAGCATACTTACTCTTCAATTCTAATAGAATTTAAATATAATCATTAGAATATTCAAACAACAATATCTTGTTATAATGTATACATATAACTTCAACTCGTTAGTTTATATTCTTCTGATCACATCAACAGCAACACTTAATTTCATTTTCATCAGCGTTCGCGTTTTTATGGCTCAACAGCGATGCATTCATATGCACTTCCGCGAGAATCGCATAAATTGCAAGCTGTTGCATTATTTCATTCTGATTCATGATTTTGGCTAACGATTGTTTATTATTGCGTTTTAATTTAGACAATAGATTAAGCAATTATAATTTAAATGCTCTAATTTAAGTTAAATATAATTTAAATACTCTATTAAATTATAATTCAAAATTATTATTTAAATGCTCTAATTTAAGTTAAATATAATTTAAATACTCTATTAAATTATAATTCAAAATTATAATTTAAATAATTCTTATCTTAGAAAGAGATCTCTCATCAAGTTTTTTACATTACTTAATAAACAAATTATGAAAATATAATATGTTGGAAGAATTACTATACAATAATCATAACTTTTTTTATTCTGTATAAAGTGACCAGAGAAATCAAGTATATTTATAACCGCATTATATACGCGAAAATACAATTAAAGTAACCAATAAGTTGAATTACAAGATACTCGTGAGTCTTTGAATATTTTATATTGTCGGCAATAAATTTATACGACGAGTTCGTGTTTCTAACAACAATGCTTCTGTTTTACATATATTATGAAGTACATTATTGCAGCGACTATCAATTCATTCTTACAACACCACACCACGTCATTAAAATTGACATTTGTAAGCAAAATATCATCTGAGTCGAAGATAAGTTTAATTTATATGCAAATATTTTTCTCGGCACGTTTAATCCCTGGGGTATAAAGTTGATCATCACATATGCCGCATATATTCGCAATAACACAACCCACCTGCTGAAGAAATAAGATTTCCCCACACTTGTGCCATTTGATAGAACATGAAAAAGAGGCCGAAGAATCGTGTGACAAGAACATTTGTAGCTATATCTGAGACAGTTGAGTAGGCTTCGGCTGCTATAGTTAAATATGTACATTTTGCGCACCAAAGTGGCCCTCCGCCTAATCCAACCGATAATCCGGCGGGAATCATCGTATAAAATTGTGGATAAAATTGAGCAGCTATGAAAGGCATATAAGTCAATATGGAAACACACATCGTCCACTTGCATCCTAACCAACTAAAATAAAGAATTATATAAATCTATCCAAAAAACAAAATGTCTAAAATCGGGACATTAAAATGTCTTTTAGACATCATATAAAAAATGTCTTTAAGACGTTTTATGTTCCGTTTTAGACGTGATGTTGTTTGGGTATTTACTTATTTACTCATATTAATTAATTAGGTTATTTTTCAAATAAAATATAGTTAAAGTGAAGTAAGATTTATATTCGTGGTTCGTTTTTATATTCGAGATTATCTTAAGTATCATCTTAAACAATTTTATAATTCTATTCAATCAATGAAATAATCACATAACATCTTCAGACTGTATTTAAGACAATCATGAATAATAAAGTGGATTATAAACAGATATATTAAAGTTACGTTGATTTGATTAGAAAAATGTATCCAATTTTATTCACGCAAATACAAGTTTATTTCATTCTTGATCAATGATGGAACCCACGGTTGCGTGCGACAAAATTCTGGGTCAAGGTAAAGACCACGGATAATAAAGTTTAGTGGCGTGGGATTCTGTACAAAATTAATCCCTTCTATGTATCCCACTTATAGATATTGAGCTGTCATCGTCTATGATCCAAGGTTCTTTTCCGACATATAATATTTATCAAAACGGGATTCTTGATTTATTTTATCGCGATAACGAGTAAGAGGAACCGGATTTGAAGACAACTCTCCTTTAGTTTGAGACGCGGAATATTTATCGCAGCATCAAAAATGTCAAACTGTTATTTCGTCAAATTATATCGTTTTTTTACTTGATATACGAAATCGCATTAAACAATACAGAGAGAGAGATGTAAGAAAAATATATAAATGAGATTAGCTAAGTATCTTACCTTATAACGAGAGCGGGTAGAAAAATGTTGCTGAAGAGCAGACTGCCGTAAATTGCCGATAAAGTAAATGTACCGAGCGATTGATTCGCATTGATAGAGCTCTGTAAATTCGAGGCTCCCATAAAGGCAGTAAAATTCACCATAAAAGCGCAACCGATCGCTAGAATATTCCTTATAATTCGCCATCGTTCTGATGGCTCAAAATTCGGAGTCGGCATTTTTACGAATCGTCTTGGCACCTGGGTTTCATCAACCGTCATAATTTAATTAATGCCCAATTATTTAATAGTATCTACAGCACTTCCAAAAATGTGTACGATACTTTCGTGATTTCGCCAACCGATAAATTGCAAATTATCGTCTTTCGAGAAGCATAAAAACAAAGATAATGTATAATACGCGCTCTTAATTTTTATTATGTCTATTCGTAAAAAATCTTAATATATTCGTTTTATTTTTTTATGATTTGCTATCAAGATTTCAACTTCAATATATATATATATTTTTTTATCTGCAATATACATTTCAAATCGATTGAATTAATAGACCTCGTTATCTCAATCGCAATTTTCATTGAAAGATATCGGTAAATGATTATGAACTGGGAAATTAAAACTGAAACTGAATATTCACATTTATTCCTATAATGATCAGCCGTGATTTGCGTAAAGCCAATAACGATTTCAAGGTAATCAGTGAATGTAGAAACGGCATGTGTAGCATTATGTCGTAATTGTGATGAATTAGCATTGTTTTATAAATATAGATATGAATATTTTACTTGCTTTATTGCCATTAAAATATTATAATGTCAGTTGTGATATGTTTTTGATAGTGTTTTATATGTCAACAAAATGCCTAATTCGAGCGGAATTATGCAAAAACCATTTTCTATTCGGTAAGATACACGATCGTCAGAGCATTAACAGGCAATCTGTCCTTGGGATTGGGTATCCTTGCTCCTTTCACGCACCTTAATCGCACTTGATACAATTTCCATTCCGATCGCGCACGTCGTTTGGAATATATAACGCGCCGATCGAACTGAAATCCTGTCACATACAAATAGATGCACACGATAACGTAACGCAAAACAAGTTTATCGACAAAACGTCGAGTAACATCGCGCAAATGGGCTTTGATGAAAATCTGTAACGTAGGCACGAAAGACTGCTGTTTGTACGAATATTTGTCGAATATTTGTCGAATACAATTTCTCAAAATATACGGATATAAGAATTTAATTTTAAACGAGAATATTCGGGCCAGTTTCTCGTTTAGAGGTTTTTAATAGCGAATAATTCGGTTGAACGCACTTAGTATGCACACTCGTTTAATTTTTGTATATTCAATTAATATTGAAAATGTATATATGTATCTATAGAAAAGTAAATGAAGGCGCATTTAGTGCGTGACCGCGCGCATTAAGCGTACAATTGGCTATGAAAGAAACAAGGTATATATACCTTTTACTTTATATTTTTAAATTAATCTCATTTATTTATTTTGTTATCAGATGTGTTAAAAGATAAATAATTTACAGAATAGCCCGTCGATGCTAAAACAATTAAATGTATTCAAATGGATTGTATATTTAAAGCTTCAATACCACGGTACTTTGCACTGGACAATTATTATGAAAATAAGGAATGTGTTGTTAAATGAACAAGAAAATTAATGCATGTGTTATAGATATTTATGTCATTAACATAACTTGTAATTAAATGGAAAATCATAAGAATTTTTCTTTAGAACGTCATTCGTAACGTCACCAGTTACGTGTATAGGTGCTAATTACATATAAGACTAACACAATGCTTAAAATCCACTCTCTCTCTTGACATATCATTTAAACAGTAATTATCTTATTATTTCCAATTGTTGCAAATATTGCTGGATTTAAATGATGATTACACAATTATCAACAATATTATGTGTATTAATTATGCAATAAATTCGCTGTATCAAAGAGTACTAATCTGCGAAAATCAGGACAACCTTGCATATGCGTTCATACCTATATTGCGAAATTCAATTAGCCTCTGGCACATCACTTGTCATTTTCACTCTACTGTCACCGTCGCGCACAACTATGTAACTCTATTGGATGAGACTTACGGGCAGCACGATAATGATGAAATATTCTACGCATGACATAAAGCAAAAATATTGGGTAGTTACATAGCAATTGTCATTATTGTAATTTAGTATGCATTGTATCTTCTATTAAAATAATGTAAACTATAACAAATATAATTTCTATTCAACAGACTTTCCAACAAACTTTTCAAGCACACTAATTATTAGATTTACATCACAATCAAATTAGCTAATTGAAAAATTTTTTACATATGATCTTTCACGTGTAAAAAATACTTTCTGCAAACTTTTATAACAAAATGTATATATATTTTTTTATATATTATTATATGCATATATATAATACGTATTTAATATATAAATATATATTAAATAATGAATTTTTCTTTCTAATTATGAATAACATGCAAAAAGAATTTATAGTACAGCGCATGTATGTGAATAATTTTTCTTCTTAAGCGAAACTAATAAATCATATAAAAAAATTTCTAAAATTCTTATATTATTACGAATAAAGTAGACAACGTAACTCATTAATTAAATTAATACAATTTAAAGTAACATTTTGTTATAAATTTGTAATTTTGTCATTTAAACTTTATATCTTTTAAAACAATCATTCGTTAAAGATAACGAAAGATGGAGAACTAAACTCTCGTATCTGACCTTTAATAATCAATTTGAGTTTATATCATGTAATCAAGAAAGTTCATGTGGTTTTCTTGCTAAGCTCTCTATCATTAATAAATATTGATTGAAAGCCGCCATCGAGTCTAATCTACAGCAAACTCGTCACTTGCTTGCACAAAGCTTTAGCGCTAATGGTGAGATTCTTAGTGTGTTATATTTCTATAATAATGCACACATGTTATTTTTATAATAAAAATCACATGCAAACATGGTTACCTTATTTAAAAAGTTATTTAAATGAAAAAAAGTTATTAAAATAAAAATTCACGCACCGTTTCTTTCGCGTTTCCCCTATGTAATATCTAAACTTATCCTACAGGGTTTATCCTTACATACCTATATCAACTGAGATTTTCCAATTCCGTGAAGTCAAGGTTCAAATTTTTCCTGATCATCGATTTATATATGTGACAACTTGAGATTCGTTCGTTTAAGCGCGCGGCGAATAAAACGTTACTGTAGAGATACTGCGAATGAGCCAAACGATCAGATGGTTACGGCTATTCCCCACTCACGCTCACCATCTCAGGTAAGTATATGATAGTGAAATCCCTCACTACCAGTATAAATCGTGACGTTTATCAAATGCACGTCCGTGTTCGAAGCGCGTGTCACGCCATCGCATCGTATCTTAATCGTAGAGTCTTTAAACTTTAATCGCCTTCATCCTCCTTCATTAACTGTCGCCCATTATCCGCGGTAATTATGGCCTCGTTAATCTATTCGATAGCGTGAAGCGAACTATATTGCTTTAGGTAATCTCGAAACAGCATTTCTCGACAGCAAAGAAGACGAATCTCTACTTAGAAAAGATTCCTACAAATAGCGAATCGTATTATTTACGAATATTCTTAAACGATGTTGAAATAGAAATAAAAATTGAACGAAGCGAAATGACACGATTAATTATGTGCTATAAATTATATACGAAATATCGTATTAAAAATTATCTAAAATTACAAAATTTAGATAGAAAATGGATACAGAATCAGGCGCAAAATTAAATGCAACAAACTTGTTTCAAATCTTCTTGAATTTGAACGGTTGAACTTCTTTAGACCATCTTCAGCAGATCAATCAATTAACAAAAAAAAATCATGCGTTCTTTTCGATCACTTTAAGGACTTATCAAGGACGTGAAACAGAGATGTGGATCAGGACACGCGAATTTTTTTGATAATTTGTTAAAGATAATCCAAAGGAAGAATCAAAACGTTCAAATTAAATAATAAAGATTTTAAAACAGTTTGTTAAACAAGTTTGTTACTCCAATTTCTACATCTAACTCTTATTAGCACATTTTATACCTAAATTTTGTATTTATATATCAAAGCCATTTCATGTGTTTTATTATAGCTGTAAAATTATATATTCCAATTATATTTGGTCATTGACATCAAAGGAGAGCATCAATTAGATCTATACATATATGTCAGATTTAATAGACATGCAATTAATTGAAGTAAATAATTTAGTAAACTTGAGTCTAATGTATGAAATAAATGATATTCTAATGATAGCTTTGATTAGAAATGGATACATCGACTGGCTAAACAACAATCATCACATGCAAGTTGTAAACCATGCACGAGAGACGTGCAGAAATTATAGCAATTAATTAGGACAGAGCCGCTGCAACAGACGCGGACAGAATACCGTGGACATCAATTCTATTCTCTGGTTATATAGCTTTCCATCAATTTTCATAATTTTCGATTAATGAAATTATTGACATTTTAAGTAAATGCGTTTTTAAATATTGAAATTCATAAGCAAAAATATTGTAAAAGACTAAGATATTGTATTTGATCAATAAAGTTTTAGTATATAATACATACGAAACTAGGGCAGAGCTTTGCGATGAGGAAGATTAACGAATCTCTGCCAACTGTGTTCATTAATCGTCAGGATTAATTGTGGATTATTCTATCGAGTTCAAAGAAAAATCTGCTTTTTACGTACTTACAATCTCATCAAACGCTTAATACTCTTTACATCTTTGTTACGTTGTAACAATCATTTGGAACTATGAATAATTATTATACGAATATTATAATTAAATATTTAATTGTAGTATTTCTAGTGTATTATTAATAAAAGTAAATTATATATATATGTATATATACATATATATGTTGACGTCGAGAATATAATATATATATATATATATATAGCTTTCTGAAAATATAGAGAAATATATTCCCTCAGAATAATTAATCTTTTCTAATTATTTATTACTTTTGTAAATTACACTGACCAATAATTGCGTTTATATGCTGCCCCTGTTATTATTTGTGCGACAATTACCAGTAATTAATGTTTATATATAAGAGCAACCTATGTATGTTGCGTCATAAATATTCCGTCGTACATATTTATGCTACGCTAAATTGTCTTTGCCAAAATTGTTTCAGAATATTTGACAGAAGTGTCTGGCATTCTGAACATTGAAATTGGAATAACGGATCTTGTGCAGTCAAAATGTGGAAGCTTTGCAAGAACGGCGTGTAAATATAATATTCCTTTGAGAATCGCGTTCCGTGGACTTGTCCGAAATCGTGAAAGCACTTTATCAACTTCATTTCATGTTTACGTCAAAATCATAAACGCGATTTTTACGCTTTCGATATGTAGCAAAAATTAATTTTGCTACAATATTTTCGATTTTTTAAATATTGTATTTATTTAAAATAAAAAGTGATTTAAAATTGTTCGTCTTGTTTGATCATAAAAAATTACTTATTAAACTTTTCTATTATTGTACAAGTTTTTTTTTGTTAAAGAGAGTTAGTAATTATAATATAAAATTTTTTGATATAATTTCAATATAAATAATATTGTTTATTTCGCATTTATAAATAATATTGTTACTTGTAATATTAAAATATTCTGAATTATAACATACACATATAAAAAAATACTTTTTTTTATCAAAATTATTTATACTATGATATTTATATATTTTAATGTAATATTCGTATAATATTTGTACGTTAAATTATATACTACTATAAGTTTATACACACACATAACGTGTTATTAGAGAAGAGACAGAATAAATTTTTAAACATTTTATATCTGTGTTTATAAAAAAGAATAATAATATTTATATGTACGTAAACGTCGTTGTTTATAAATAAATTATAAGATATTCTTATAGACCAATATGAAATAATTTCTGCATTAAAGATACTCATTACTCTCAGTATGTCAACGTTAGGACGTTGCAATTATAAGGGTAAGAGAATATCTAATAGATATATGTTGCAATGTATTTTATGGGATGCATATATGCTGCATATCAACCGCAATTGTGCGTCCGATAGCGAGTTTTACTCCACTGAGGCCGTAACACTCGTTAACGACGAAAAGACAATAAAGACCACGCTGCGTTATATATTTTAAAGAGCTGTGTATAGAAACAATTATGTACCACATAATTTTATAAAAGTAGTGCAAAGAAAATTATGTACGTAATTTCATCTTTCCATATTTCGTTAAATCCAATTTTCGATATAACAAATATTCTAATTTTTGTCCTTTGTCATTGGTTTTTTCTTTTAAGTATACAGTCTTTCTCACAATAGAACTGTATTATATTTTAGACAAATTAATTAATTTTTTTAAATAGACAAATTTTAAAACACTTATTTTGAAATAATTCTAAAAATTAAAATTTAAAGAATTTTAATGTTTTAAATTTTTCTAAAATATTATTTCTTTTATCTTTTCTAAGAATAGTCTCAATATAATTAAATTCTTTTAAAAATAAATTAAAGTAAAATAATGAATATTTTGCATATTATTTCTTGTTTTTTAAATATATTAATGATCCCAATACCTCTAGAATAATTTAAATATTTAAAAAATTCTAATAATCCCGTAGTACCCCTAACAACTTTATTTGCTGGTTAATTGAACGGGAATTATCTGAGATTTAAGGTGCGCTGTCCTAATATTAGTGTTCTACTCGCGTGCTCTAATCGAATGCACCGAAAGCACTCGTGATTACGTATCATTGCACATAAGTAAAATATACAATACGTGAAATATTTTGATCTTAGATATATCTTATGAATCTCTCGCTATGCATCTTGGCCGCAGTATTAAATCGTCTATAGTGTGAGTATAGTTTATATCAATTATTCTTTGCTCAGTTAGACCTATGATTTGTTAAACGCACGCGGATAAATTAAGAAAAGAGAAGAATTCACCTTTTGCAAAATAATTATTATCAGCAGATGAGCGTAAACATATCACGCTTCTTGACGATCGTGCAATTTTATGATCGTTACTTGAACATTCATTGATATTAATGTAACTTTACTTTTTTTTTAACCAAGAAACAAAGATAAGTTTATAATTAAAATTGATTGATTGAAATTTATGTAATATATAATTTATAAAAAAATAATTTATGGCAAAAATTTTAATTATTATTTATATAATTTATCATAATTTTGCTAACTTAATTAATTGATCACTTAATTTTTACATTCAGTTAAAGTAAAGTTTAAAACAATTTCTACTGAATAAGTTCTAGAATGGATAAGCTGTAAATTAAAGTAAGATCAGCCATGAGCAACCATAAATTAGAGTATGTCGGCGCGATATAAAAATAAATTATTACTATTACATATAATTATTAATTAAATTAGCAAAGTTATGATAAATTATATAAATAATTAATAATTTTTTTTATCAAATTATATTTTTATAAATTATACATTACAAAAATTTCAATCTATCAGTTTTAATTAAAATTTGTCTTCTTTCTTGCTTAAAGTAAAGTTATATATTAAATCAACGAATGCAAGTATAACGATCATAAAATTGCATGATCGTCAAGGAATGTGATATGTTTACGCTCATCTGCTGACAATAATAATTATTCTGCAAAAGGTGGGTTCTTCTCTTTTCTTGATTTAATACACGGATTTGTAAAATTATAAATAAATCTGTTACCTCAAAATGGATAAGCCGGAACAGATTAGGTTGAATAACTTTTATTAAATTGCTTCAATATTTATATAACAAAACTAAAATAAAAATTGAACATGGTTCATTATAGAAAGAGTACTTTTCAATTAATTTTAATAAATTTTTTAAAATTTTTTACAAACTATCATAAAATCGCACGATTGTCAAAGAGTGTGACATGTTTACGCTTATCTGCTGATAATAATAATTATCCTGCAAAAGAATATTTATCTTTTCTTGATTTATACGCGTGCGTTTAACAAATCATAGGTCTAACTGATCAATTTTAAATAAAATTTAAATTTTATCTAATTTAGCTATTTATTGAATAAAGAATCATTTTAATAATTATATTTGATAGTAATAAAACAACAAATGTATTCAAAAAAAAGGCCAACTTATCGAGCAATATTTAAGATGTTATATTCAATTAAAATTTATTCCATAAACAATATATTAAAATTACAAAAAAAACTTCCATAAACGTTTTAACCGCACGCGGT